AGGGTTTTGTGGGAAGTTGGGATTGTGTGGGGGGGGAGCAGGGTTTTGTGGGAAAGCAGGATTGTGTGGGGGGTTAGCAGGGTTTCCTGCAGGGGAGCCAGGTTTGACTGGGGAGGAGCCTGGTTTGATGGGGGCAAAACCAGGTTTGATTGGGGAAGAACCAGGCTTGTTAGAATCCGGTTTGCTAGGGAAGGAGGAATCAGGCTTGCTGCCGCCACTGGGCCTGCTGCCGCCGTTGGGCCTACTACCACCACTGGGCTCGCTGCCGCCACTGGGCCTGCTGCCACCGCTGGGCCTACTGCCGCCGCTGGGCTTACTGCCGCCGCTGGGCCTACTGCCGCCGCTGGGCCTACTGCCGCCGCTGGGCCTGCTGCTGCCTCTGGACCTGCTGCTGCTGCTGCTGGACCTGCTGCTGCTGGACCTGCTGCTGCTGCTGCTGGACCTTCCAGACAGGGAATCATCAATCAGCAGGAGGATAAACAGAACTGCTATCCAGCAGGTCACCACGCACCTTCTCATGGTGGCTATTCTGTAAAACAAAATAAGAAATTTTGTTTTAAAAGCATAACAACCTGACATTTATAAAACATACAGTGCAAAATGGACAAAGCATGTAGCTGAGAAAGGAAATTAAAAATGGGCTCCTTTGTACCATGTAGCAAGCACACACTGGCTGTATTAAGTATCATGCAATGTCAGTGGCATAATACAAATAAATCAAAACAAAGCATAACAGTTTTGAGGATGGACTGCCAGTATCTATTTTTAACTGTTTTAATGCATGGTCTCAAGTGGTTAAGTCGCTGAACTGCAGGCTGTGGAAGGTCAGTAGTTCAGCAGTTCGAGACCCGGGTGCCGCATGATGGAATGAGCTCCCATCTCTAGTTCCAGCTCCTGCCAGCCTAGCAGTTCGAAAGCAAGAAATTGCAAGTAGATAAATAGGTACCACTTCGGTGGGAAGGTAACAGCGTTCCGTGCGCCTTGGTGTTTAGTCATGCCGGCCACATGACCACGGAAATGTCTTCGGACAGCGCTGGCTCTTCGGCTTTGAAACGGAGATGACAACCGCAACCCTAGAGTCGGATTCGACTGGCTTTCAAGCAAGGGAACTTTTACCTTTACCTTATATGTAATGATGACTACTATTGTAAAGGGGTTTAAAACAGGAGTAAGCAAATCCACAAAACATGTGGGTTATTAGTTAATATAGCTGATTTCTCCCCTCCCTGCACTGTGCAGGATCAGATCACCTGTGCCATGGCATTGTAACATGTTTCCCACTTCCTTGCTGCATCACTGGAAACAGGGTCTTTTCCTGGTGGCACCCGGTGGTGATCATCAGGAACTTCATGTTTCTTTTGTTTTTGTTTTTTGTTAGGCACTAATTTTAAACATTTTTATTCATCCGGGCTTTTGGTGACGTCTGACGGCTAGTTTATTCATCTTTCTGCTAGCTGTGATTTCATATTTTATTCTGCTGTTTTGTTGTGATCCGGATTATTGGGAGGGGGTGGTGGTTGTAAATTGCCTTAGAGCAGGGGTGGCGAACACGTGGCTCTAGAGCCGCATGCGGCTCCCGGCCAAAATTAATGCGGCTCTTTGCCTCTTATCATCATTTTGTATATTGTGGCTCTGTCGCGTTCCTCCTTGTTCTTGGGGGTGGCGCCCCAGTGGCCGTTGTGGCACGACGTGAGTGGGCCCCGTGAGGAGCGGCGTGGCTCTGGAGGCGAGGGTTTGGAAAAGACGGGGTAGAAGAGGACCTCAGAATGGCAGGGGGCGGGGTTGACGTCACCCCGAGTGCCCCTCTGCCGACACTCCCGCACGACCTCTGGCACGCTCCGTCTCTCTTTCTCTTCTCTCGCTCTCTGCCAGTCGCTCCGTGTCGCTCCTCCCCGGTCCCTTCTTACGCCCGCCTTTTATTTCCTCCCCCCTCCCACTCCCGGGCCACACTACTCTTCCACTCCCGGCCCCGCCCCCCCTTTAACAGAGGAGACGCGCGCCGCCGGGTAGACGCCCACCGGACACGCGCTCCCTGTCATCCGGTCGCCGTTGAGGCCGCGCCACCGGCCCTGCTCCCCTGTCGCAGCTTCTGTCACGCGTCTCGGGCCGGGGCTCTCGCCCCCGCGCCCGAGTGCGTCCTGCGGTCATCTCGTGCAGCCGGGCATCTTCTGGGGAGGTTCGGCGTTGGGGCGCTGCCTCCCTCTCCCGGTCTTCGGCGCTGGCGACGGCCGGTAGGTCAGGGTGTGGGGAGTTCCTCGGGGCGTCATTGTTAAAAGTATATGCTTTTGTGTGAGTGTTTGTCTGTTTTGGCAGGTCACTGCGTGGTGTGGCTCTCTGACTCTCACAGTTTAAAATTTTGGCTCTTTTTGTCGAACTTGTTCGCCACCCCTGCCTTAGAGGCTTAGATTAGTAGGGGGGGAAAGCAAAGTTTAAAAATTACAAAGAAAATTAATAAATCACTGTGCTGACAGGGTTGGAGCAAATTTACAGAAAGCAGGGAGAAAACATGACCGTGATACCATTTCATGTGCTAGCCCCCATGTGTAGTTCTGTCCCCAACTGTGGATATACTTTCAAAAAGGAATGCTAGTATTACAAAATGTTAAACCTTTAAATGAACAACAAAGAAAGAGCGATACTAAAAGTCAGGAGATAAAAGCCCACTAAACACACAGCTGCAATCATGGAAAATAAAAGAATCGCTTGGTTTGGCTACAAATTTATCCAAGCCTCCCTGGACAAATCATCTGCTCTACTTCAAATATATATATATTTTTTTAAAAAGCTGCTTTCTTAAATTTAGGACATAACTGTTGCCTCTGGCAAGGAAGCACCTTGCCAGAGGCAGAGGAGACCAGCTGAGCTCTGAGCAGGAGCAGGAGAGAGAGCTGTGAGAGTGGTGAGTGGGTTTCTTTTACTTGCTTTCAGCTGAGAGAATTCAGCTAAGGATATTTTGTGGGAAAACTGTGTTTAGCAGTGTGTGGAAGCACTTAGAGTTCTTGCAGAGTCCTGGCTGATTGAGTGTGGGAGAGGAACGGGCATTGTTTGACTGGGATTGCCTGTAATTGAGAGGAAGTGGAAGGGGCATTGTTTTGCCTGTGATTGAGTGCCTGGGTGAATTTGAATTTGAATAGCTGCTGCCTGACCTCTGCTGGGGGAGGCCTCTATTTAAGGAAGCACCTTGGCAGAGGCACGAGCCTCTGGCCGGAGCCGAAGGGTGAGCTAAAGGGCTCTTTGCCTGTGGCTCTTAGCCTAGGGACTCTTAGACTAGGGGCGCTGTAAGAAGCCCAAAAAGAGCCAGAAAGACAAGGCCCTAGGCTCTTTGTCTTTCCCGTAAAATAATTTGACTTGATAACAAAACCCACATAAATACCAAGGGTTTAAAAGGGGGATTATATTTATTTATTTTAAAAGAATTATGAAGCCAGAATGCCAGCAGGGGGTTGGGGGCTATCCAGTGTTTTGCACGGAGTGTCACATGTATGACTATCTGCCCACTGGGCAGAAGTCTTGGGTGTGTCCTCGGTGCAAGGAGCTCCTGGTTCTCAGGGAACGTGTGTGCTCCCTTGAGGCCAAGGTGGCTGACCTGGAGAAGCAGAGACAGTCAGCTAGGCGCACAGAAAAGACTCTCGGGGACTTGTTAGCTACGTCCCACTCTGGATCTGGCAGCCCCGCTGCTGTCAGGGAGCATGAGGGTCTAGGGGAAACAGGGCACCATGCTGAGGATAAGGGGAATGTGCCCTCAGAAGGGACCTCTTCCCCAGCTGGTGAGCGGCTCTCCTTTTGCACCAAGGAACCATCCCTGAGCAGGGTGGGAGGGGGGCTCTTGGTAGTGGGTGATTCGATCCTTAGGCAGGTAGACAGCTGGGTGGCGAACCCGCGTACTGACCGTATGGTGACTTGCCTGCCTGGTGCGAAGGTAGCGGACATTACGCGTGTTTTAGATAGGCTGGTAGATAGTGCTGGGGAGGAGCCAGTGGTCGTGGTGCATGTCGGCACCAACGATGTGGGGAAATGCAGTCGTGAGGTCCTGGAGGAGAAATTTAGGCTGCTGGGCAGGAAACTTAGGTCCAGGACCTCCAAGGTAGCCTTCTCAGAAGTGTTACCTGTTCCACGCGCAGGGCCGGAGAGACAGGCAGAGATCAGGAGTCTCAATGCGTGGATGAGACGATGGTGTAGGGGGGAAGGGTTCAGGTTTGTTAGGCACTGGGATACTTTTTGGAACAAGAGGGAGCTGTACAGGCGAGACGGTCTCCACTTGTCCCGAGAAGGAACCAGGCTGCTGGCACTTAAAATCAAAAAGGTGGCAGAGCAGCTTTTAAACTGAATATTGGGGGAAAGCCGACAGGAGATGAAAAGTCTCTGGTTCGGGTTGGCTCATCTGAGAGAGGTGAGGGGGTACCGGTTGCTTTTCTACAGGGAGGTGGATTGAAATTGTCCACAGAGGCCATGGCTGGTGACATGGACTGCCGGACAACGACTCGAGATAGCAAGAGGAAGGATGCAGGCTTAACTTGTAAGGGAAATTACAGCTGTTTCTATACAAATGCTAGAAGTGTCCGAGGTAAAATCGGGGAGTTGGAGTGCTTGGTGTCGGAGGGAAAAATAGACATTGTGGGTATTTCTGAAACTTGGTGGGATGAGGAAAATCAGTGGGACACAGTGATTCCCGGTTATATATTATATCGGAAGGATAGGGGGGGAAGGGTTGGAGGTGGGGTAGCTCTGTATGTCAGAGAGGGTATAAAGTCTAGAAAGATTGAGAGGCTAAGTGAATTGGATTCGCTTCTGGAAGTTCTATGGGTTGAAATAGGGGGGCCAAAAGGAAACTTAACACTGGGAGTTTGTTATCGCCCACCAGATCAAAAGATAGAGGAGGATTATAAAATGATGAATGCCTTAAAGATAGCAACTAGACAAAAACACTGTGTAATAATAGGTGATTTTAACTACCCACACATTGATTGGGTCAATATGTGTTCTAGCCGGGAAAAAGAGATTGAGTTTCTAGACACTCTAAATGACTGTGCTATGGAGCAGATGGTCACGGAACCTACCAGGGGAGAGGCGATCCTTGATTTGGTCCTAAGTAACACTCAAGACCTGGTGAGAGATGTAAAAGTGATTGCACCGCTTGGAAACAGTGATCATAATGTTGTTGAGTTCATCATTTGTACAAATAGAGAATTGGCCAAAAAGACTCACACAACCATTTTTAACTTTAAAAGGGGTAATTTCTCTGATATGAGGGGACACGTGGGGAGGAAACTGAAAGGAAAAGTAGAAAGGGTCAAAACAATTGGGGAAGCTTGGGATCTATTTAAAACTACGATCCTAGAAGCTCAAAAAATATATATTCCGCAGGTTAGGAAAGGCACAAACAGGTATAGGAAAAAGCCTGCATGGTTAACAAACAGAGTAATGGAGGCTGTAAAAAGTAAAAAGAATTCCTTTAAGCAGTGGAAAGCTAGTCACAGTGAGGCTGATAAAACGGAACACAGGCTATGGCAAATAAAATGCAAGTCTGAG